TCCAAGTCCGCGGGTTAATCTAGTTTCATGGAGCTAGGATATATAATAACATCGAATAGAATATATTCGTTATAAAAAGAGAGATGAAAAGAATATTATTATGTGAAACTTATATCCACACATGCTTTTAAATTTTTCAATTCAAAAACCAAGTTTAAAAGTTTTTTATTCAAAAATAAGGTGATAATTCAAATTTTTAATATTAATAATAATATTATAAAATTAAATTAATTTACATACCCATCTCATTCCATCACACACCCATCCACCACACGACATGTCACTTCGCAACCTTAATCGTTTCCCTCTCTCTTTTCTCTATCACACACCACCACCAGAAAGCCATCGTCGATGCGACGTTCACGACTAAAAAACAGAGTTTCAGACACGAATTTTTCGTTCCTAAAGCCTCAATATCCATTGCTAATAATCTTCACCAACGGAATATTTGCAACCACAAATCCGTTAGTAATTTGAGGGTCGTTGATAGTTACCAGCAGATCATGCCGTAGGTAAAGAGTAAACATTTTACCAACGAATTTTCCGTTAGTAAAGTGTGAATCTTTTACCAACGAAATTTCCGTTGGTAAAAGTCTTAACCAATACCAACCGACTTTCCGTTGGTAAATGTCTACCATTACAAATGATAAAAATCAATGTTGTAAATAACCGTATAGTAAAAAAGTTATTTATTTATTTATTTAATATTATTATTTATTTAATAATTATAATATTTTTTTATTTTTAGTCAACTGAATTGATAGGCCAAAATATTATTTAACTCCTTATTGGACCACAAATTTATAGAGGGCAACTACAAAGATATTGTTGTAAACTTTCGATGTGGGATAAGTGAATTATTTTTATCAACGGATAATTCGTTTCTCATTAGCAACGGAATATCCGTTGCTGAAAGATCAAAATGTTAAACAGTTATATTAGGCACGAAATATCCGTTAGTAAAGAGATATCATTTTTACTAACGGATAATCCGTTTCTAGCTATCAACGGAATATCCGTTAGTAAAAGATCAAAATGTTAAACGGTTATATAAGGCACGGAATATCCGTTGGTAAAGAGATATCATCTTTACTAACGAAAAATCCGTTGCTGATTATTGTAGCTAAAAGTGAATTACTTTTACCAACGGATAATCCGTTTTTAATTACCAACGGATGCAATCCGTTGGTAATTTTCGGTACATCACCTACAGAATATCCGTTGAAAGAATATCCAAATGTTAAACGATTACATTAGGCATGGAATATCGGTTGGTAAAGAGATATTATCTTTACCAACGGAAAATTCGTTGCTAATTATTGTAGCTAAAAGTGAATTACTTTTACCAACGGATAATCTGTTTCTAATCACCAACGGATGCAATCCGTTGGTAATTTTCCGTAGGTGAAAAGCTATTTTTTAATAGTGGTTGTGAGCGTTGCTGTGCAGCGATGAAGTTTTGGGGATGGATACTTCCTACTCCGATCTACCGCGTAGTCAGAGTATTGAGGTAATTTTTTTATGGTTATTGATGGTTTTTTTTTTTTTAATGAGGTGTCCCAGCTTGCGTCAGACTATATCCTCGTCCCTGAACCTCCGGCCCCTCAGCAGCTCAGGGAGGTAAATCGGGGGATGTGCCTTTGTTGGTTCCCAGGTTCCCACACGACTATGGTTATTGATGGTTTGCTAATAGTGGAGGTGGTGTTGATGGTGCAGGTGGTGGTGGTACTGGCAATGTTGGTGTAGGTGGCGGTACTAGCAGTGGTGGTGTAGATGGTAGTGGTGCTAGTGACGATGGTGGATGATGCAACGTTTGGTTGGTGTCGGTGGGGTTGGGGAATCAAGTGAGATGAGGAATGCTTGTAACCAATTATTTGGATGTTTGAGATCAATAAGTAATATGTGACCGATAAAATAGATAATTTGTGAATAATATGTGAACTTAGAAAATGTGAGATTACAAATAAATTTGAAATCGTGACTCACAATTTGTTAAGTTGTATACATTAATTTGATAATTTCTAACAATAAAATAAGTTGTGAGCTATAAAATTTGTGATTTGTGAGTGAGAAAAAATGTAACATATAAATTTGATAACTTGTGATCGATAAATCAATTGTGATCTATAAAAAATTTTATTTGTGAGTGAAAAATAATACGTAATCAATTAATTAGATAATTTGTGATTGATAAATAAGTTGTGATTTATAAAATTTGTGATCTATGACTGTGAAGTTTTGTGATTGTGACTAATACGTAATTATGATCATAAATTGTATAATAATGTGACATTAATATATTTATTTTATGAAATATTTTTATTTATTTATTTAATAAAATTTAATTATAACCTGATTTTTGAAATTTAAAACAAATTTTGTATATTTGAAATTGTATCTTTCAAATACTTTAAATATGTATGTTTTCCATAAATTATTATTGTATAACAACGTGAGTTAATATGTCAACAGGGCATAACACATATTTTCTATGTGAGAAGACGACATACGAATTATTAAATATCGTTTGAATATCCAAGATCCCAATTTAAGATTCGTCATAATATTGCGCTTATTAGATAAATATTTTTTTAGAAGTATTTCATGGAAAAGTAATTTTTGCGGGAATATTTTCTCAAAAACTAGGGAAGAATTAAGGAAAATTTTAAGAAAAATAATTTTTTTGAAAACTGTATGATTAAAAATGAGTATACAAGATAACTGATTCTCAAAAATCAAAATCAAACAAATTCCTCTATCCTTAAAAAAATAAAAACAAAAACAAAAACAAAAATAAATTAAATTTAAAGGGTAGCCACTGAATTTATAGCCCAATTTAATTGTCCTTTGTCATAACTTTTTCACTATTTGATCAAGTTAACAACTTCCACTTTAGCTTCAATTTGTTCAGTTTGGAACCAATAGATTATCATTCGTTGATATCGAAAGATCTTTTGAATTTCTATCTAGGTTACATTTTACTAACAGAATTTCGCCTTCTTCAAGGTGTTTCTAGCTCAACTCGATATTCATCTCATCTAAATGTAACGTTCTTATTGACTATATTTTTCTTCTTATTTATTTTTCCATCCTTGTGTGACCTGCTTGTAATCACTTCACAATAGTAATATAAATGTCCAACAGTCAGTTTGAAAATTCAATTCCTTAACAGTGTCATATTCTTTTCATTGTAATAAAAATCAATTTCAGGCCTATCCTCCAGAAGAAAGGGCAACACAGATAACATCTGAATTGTTATTTTCTTAATCCCTTCACAGTATGCAATCTAACAACGTATGGAAAATGCCATCTAAGAAAGTTCGCAAAATGCAGTCTTCTTGAGCCCCATTTTGATGGGACAAATGAATTTTTGAATAGTGTATTGACGTTAAATGTATGGTTAAAAAATAAGGAAAAGTTTTGGATTTGCCTGTAATATTATTTTATTGAAAAATGTGTGATTGAAATTATATTAAAACACTGTTGAAGAATTCATTTTCTCCAAAAAAAAAGGGATCAAACATGGGCATATTTTTTTTCTTTAACACCCTTCTCTTGTTAAAGTATACGTGCACAATATTCATAAGCTAATCAATATTCTTGCTAGCTCTAACATTATATTATATCACCTTATTTAAAATTACTAAAAATAATTATACCGCAATTTGGCACGATTAACAAAACCGATGTTCGATAACCCTTTCTTCTGCTACGCATGATACGGAAAGGTAATGGTGATTACTAAGCCTAACTAAATTTATTGAAACTAAGGGCCCGTTTGGTAGGAATTTTGAGAATTGATTTTTTGACCGTTAGAAAAAAAGTGGGATCCACATGTGAGAGAAGAAGTCAAAAATTACGGCTTGAATAGTAAAATAACGGTCAAAAAATCAATTTTTTGGGACAAAAAATCCCTACCAAACGGGGCCTAAAGTAGTATTTACATCTTGCGTGCAAGAAAGACAAATTAAAATTAATATCTTTGAAATTTCTAAGAAAAAATCAAGAAGATCAAGCACACACAAAATCAAGGCCACCATTTATCTATATAATCCCCCATCTGTGGAATTCCTTAAACCACACACACACAATAACAAAGCACAATTGCAACAAACATGAATTTCTCCAAAAATCTCCCCCTTTTAGTGACCCTTTGGGCAATCACATTCTTTGCCTATACCCATGCTGCCACTTTTGACATTGTAAACCGATGTTCCTACACTGTTTGGGCAGCCGCCTCGCCCGGTGGAGGTCGAAGACTCGACCGAGGCCAATCCTGGAAAATTAATGTCTCCCCGGGAACTACCCATGGCCGAATCTGGGGGCGTACTAATTGTAAATTCAACGCAAATGGCCGCGGTCAATGTCAAACTGGAGACTGCGACGGGCTATTTGAATGCAAAGGTTACGGTAGACCTCCTAATACCCTAGCCGAATTTGCCCTTAATCAACCTAATAACTTGGACTTTGTCGACATCTCAAACGTCGACGGATTTAACATCCCGTTGGAGTTCAGCCCCACCACCAATATGTGTCGCCGCCTCGTATGCAATGCCCCTATAGTCGATCAATGTCCTAAAGAACTACGTACTCCTGGCGGCTGTAACAACCCGTGCACTGTTTTCAACACCAATGAATATTGTTGCACCAATGGACCCGGAAGTTGTGGCCCAACACCATTGTCGAGGTTCTTTAAGGAAAGGTGCCCGGATGCTTATAGCTACCCGCAAGACGATCGGACAAGCCTGTTCACTTGCCCGGCTGGTACCAACTACCGTGTTGTCTTCTGCCCGTGATCAAGCTCTTAAATTTGCTGTATAAGTGGGTGGTCATGTAGTGTTGTACAACACTAATATCAGTGAAATACTAATATAGAATAAGAGTCAAAATTAAAGAATAAGACTGGAAATGTTTCCTGTTCACCTGTGTTTTGGTAAATAATAACTAAGTTTGAGTTTTCTCAATTTCTCTTTTTAGTAGTATTACTATGCATAAATGCCCTACACACAATCTCTGCTATTCAATTTTAAAAGAAAGACAATGAATTCAAAGCGTCCAGGGAAGACCAGTACTTTTCTATGAGGTCGGGCCGAACTGGAAAATGTCAGGCCTAGGGTGGCCTGCAGTCGCAGCTCATACTGCATTAGATCGAGCTGGCCAGTTGGTTCAATACCTTTCCAAGAGAGATTCTTAGAAAAATAACAATGTTTTCTCTTATCCATGATTAGAGATATTCTAAGGAATAAAGAAAATAATTTTAATGAAGTAATATAAGAGTAATACATTATTTACTAAATATAGTTATGGAATAATACAAAACCATTATGTACATTCTTTGTTACGGCCTTCTTATCTAATATAAAAGATGATATACATGAAATTTCTTAGACTTGAACCCGAGCTTCATACACCATACCCGAGCTTCCAAGCCCAAACATTTTCTCACAGAGCCGGTCCTGACAATTTGGAGGCCCTAAGCGAGTCGGCAATCTTGAGGCCTCATACTTTGTTTTTCTACACGTATAACTATATTTAAATAAAAAATATATATTTATATTTAAATGAAAACTTTGTACAATCTAAAAGATGGAATTGCTAAATAAAATATCACTTACAATCCGAGAGATTAGGCTAACATCATATTTAGTCTTCTCACATTTTGAGATGCAAAGTTAGTAATCAAACAACTCAAATCAAGTTTTTCCAACATTTTTTTTCAATAAAAATCATAGCTAATCCATTCAACCTCTCTTGTGACATGGTTGATCGAAGATAAGACTTAATCAATTTTAACTTTGAAAAACTTCTTTCAGCCGACGCAACAGTGATTGGGATATTCAATAATATCCTGTAAGCAATCCAAGCATTTGCAAAACAACAATTCATCCTCTTGATGTAATCTAACACATCAACTGCTCCATTAATTTCTGTAGATATTGCTTCCCTTAAAATTTTCAACTCAGAAAATAATTTCATTCCATCGATATCAAATACTGTGTTATGCTTCAAATAATTTTCAAGATTAATGCAACGGCACTTCAATGTAGCATCATCAATGGATCTAAGCTTTTTCAAATCAAATAAAAATCCAAAAATATCATCATATTCCTGAAATTGTTCAAATCTATTTTGAAGCGAGAGCTTGATCTACTACATATAAGAAATAATTGAACCTGAGAGATTCTTCAACTGTTTCTGTCATCTCTTCATAAGAAATCTCATCAAATTGTTTCTTTCTACGTATAACTCTTTTTTCACGAAATATAGATTCAATGTCTAATTCACTTGCAATCTTTTTAGCATCAATCACAGCCGATTCAAAACCAGTTTCTCTATAGCTTTTGAAAAATGAAATGAGCCCTTTTAAATGGTCTATAGCAACGTCAATATGGATGTCCTCTGTTTGCAAATGTTTGCTTAATCTATTAACATTATTCAACACTTCATACCAAATAATCATCCCAAGTAAGAATTCAAAATTCTCTATTTCATATGTTGCCAAACACTCCGCCTCACTTTTTGTCTTAGGACCATCAACTCTTGCCAATTCAAATAGAGCATTTCTTATTTGTGGAGTTCGAAATCTTATTGCTCTAATACTTTCAACACGACTTTCCCAACGTGTTTGAGACAAAGGCTTAAGAGTAAGGCGATTTACATTATCTTTAAAAAAATTCCATCTTTTAGTAGATGATGAAAATAGAGTGTATATACGTTGCACCACTCCAAAAAAAGATTTAGCTTTTGTACAACAAGTAGCCATATCACAAATTGCAAGATTGAGACTATGACATTCACAAGGAGTGTAAAATGCTCTAGGATTTACTTACTGTCTATTCTGTACCCCCTTTATGTTCTCCTCTCATGTTAGCACCATTATCATATCCTTGACCCCTTATATTATTGATATCAAGCACTAGATTATTCAACGCATTCACTAATTCATCAAAAAGTCCCTTTCTAGATGTATCATCCACCAATAAAAATCCTAAAAAGAATTCTTCTATCTTCACTGGACTTGCTGAAATATGAACACAGCTCAATACTATAGACATTTGTTCTTCGTGACTCAAATCTAGAGTGCAATCAAGTATCACAGAAAAGTACTTGGATTCTTTGAGTTTCTCGATGATTATTTTCTTGATCTCACCGGTAGCATAAGTATCAACTCATTCTGAATTTTGTGTCCAAGATAATGGTAATGAATTTCTTTATTTTGAATTCGATGAATATGCTCTTGCATTATAGGATCAAACTTAGCAATTATTTGAATGAAACTTAAGAAGATACCATTATTTTCTTGATATATCTTCTCATTATCTCCACGAAATGCCAAATTATTTTCTGCAAGATTTCTAACCACAGATATTATTCTCAATAATACTTGTCTCCATTGTTTTCTATTCTTATTGATTTGTTCTTGTACACTTTTATCAATTGTTTGTTTCTTTTGAAATCTTATTTCCATTTCGATCCATCTAATCATGTTAGTAATATGGTCATAACTCACTTCATGTGTTCTTAGTTTTTCCCCAATATTTTTCCAATCATTCGCACCACCATGTGCCAATTGAGTTTTAAAACCCATCATTTTTTAATAGCTTACAACAAAAACAAAATATTTTATCCTGACTTTTTGAATATATCAACCATTCTCTATCATGATTCTCTCCATTGGGTAATCGTCGAGTGTAATGAACAGAGGAGAAGTGTCGATTAGCTATATCTTTTGGAAAAATTACATCATATCTCTTACTGGACCTTTCATTATGATTAAATCTCTTAAATTTTGATTCATATTTTCCCAATTCACTGGATCACTAATATCAAAGGAGAATGGTTCACTAATCTTTTCACTGATGTTTCTTTCATCCATAACATCATCCTCGATAGATATCTCTTCATTCACCAAACAATGATATTTTTCAATTGTATTATCACCGATGTCATTCTTATGAAACTCTTCTTCGGGAACTATATCATCATTACATTTTTGTTTACTACCACTAAAAAATTTATCAAGGGCTCCCTCTTGAGATTTAATCGATTGTTCAACCTTCTTACGCCGTTTTCTTTTAGAATATTCAGATTCAAATTTTCTAGTGGATATAATTAAAGCAAATAACGGTAGAACCTGATTTAGAGTTCGAATTAAAAATATCCCAAATTCTCAAATATGCCAAGTGTAAGAGTTCAACAATCAACCTGCAATAATCAATTAAAAACACCTTGTTAGGTTCTAATTAAAAAAATCTTGTTTTGAGAGATATTTTCCAAAGTGGAAAATGATACAAATATCCCCAACAATATTTACTTAGAATATTCCTAATGACGAATGGCATTTACTAATAACACAAAATTTGCAGGAAATGTTATGTATATATTATAATATACTTTTAGAAGAGCCATTTTTCAGGCGGGAGAAAGGATGTTTGGCCCAGCTTAAAGTGTTGGGAAAATAACATTTTCTTGGATATTGACTATGATTTTCTATATAAACACATGATATATATAAATATATACATTCCCTCGAATCTTGTTTTGTAAAAAAATAATATGCAGAAATCCAAATTCATACCTTTAGTTTTGACAATACATTTAGTCAAGAAATCCAAATTTTCAAAATAATTAAAAGATCTATTCCAATCATCTTCCCTACAACAAAAATGTGTACATGCAAGTTATACTTAAAGCAATTCGAAGAAGAAGATGAAGATGACGATGACGATGATGACAATAAACTTACGGGTTTGTAACACAAAAGTGGCCCGTTTAGCAATATTGCTATGGATAAGATTGGACGTGACACCTGACAAACGTTGATAAACCATTTTGGTGAGTTGCTTAAGAACTGCAGGGTCATCAAGTTGCGTAGTGTTAATGTTATTATAGTCATAGTCGAGAACGTCTTGGCTCTGTACAAGCTGCAATGAACTGCATATGATCAACACTTGCATGAAGAACCATTTTAGTGTTCTTAGCTTGTTCATCAACATTGGGAACTCAAGTCAATATTATAGGAACGGAACTTGTAGGTTGACTATTATCCGGTTTGGCAAATTCAGAAGCCAAATGAGTCGAGTTGACAAGAGGTGTAATCACTAGATGTTTCACAAATTTATATAATAATTTTGATTAAGATACTTTACTATCGAACAACAATATGGTAGAGCTAGGGGCGAAAATTGGATAAATTTATTCACCAAACATGAATAATAAGTGAACAATCAGTCATCAGAAAATGCCTTACAATTCAAGGACGACGAAGAACCAAGGAATAAGTTGAGTCCCTTTATGGTTAGATTCTATAAGACAAAATTTCCCCCAAACTCATTTTAATCGGACAATTTTCCAACAAGAAATAACCAAATAAATTTATTTTGCAAAATCTGTTCTCGAAATATCTACCTCAAAACACTAAAACAGGCCCTGAAATTATATCAATTAATCAATATATCATTGAAACTTAAAATTAGTTAAAAACTAGGAGTTCCAACTTCCAAACTAGAAACAAAGACAACAACGAAGTGAAGAAAATGAGAACTAACTTGGAAAATTGTAACAATCAATACTCAATACAACCATTCCTATATAAAGTTCTGCAACGAAATTTGGGAATTAATTAAATTTAAAACGCTAATAGAATCATAGAACTAATTATTAAGAGTAAAAATAAAAAAATAAAAACTATTTTTCATCCCTTTTTCACGGTTTCACCAATCACCATTTTGAGATTTGAACAAACTTGAAACTACCACCATAGCCCATAGGATTAATAATCAAAGATTCAGATATATGACTATAATAACATTAACTTGAGATGGACATCCAGTTTACTTACCAAAACAAAGGACCTGACAAGATATAAAAAATGAATCCGGCTTGCGAGTCTGCGGGAAGCGGAGAAATTGAGGTTTTTCGCGTTAGATTTCAAAATTTCGTCCGTTGGCGCTAGTCCCCGGAAGCCCAGAAGTCTGGAACCTGGAAGCCTGGAGTGGAGGCCCTGGAGAATTCTGGAATCTGAATTCATCGAAGCAGAGGATTAGGGGAAGTTGAAAATGTCGAATTGAAAAGAGAAAACCAGCTGGGGCGGTTCATTGTGTATGTTATAGACTCCAATTCTCCAAAGAAATTTAATTCCATTGGTCCAAGACTCCAAGCCCAAAGACCCCAAACCATTTTTCTTATTTTGAGAATAGGATCTAATATGAAATTTGAAGCCCTGGACCCAATCCAAAATTTGGAGGTCCTAGGCGATCGCCTAGGTGGCTTGGCCCAAGGGCCGGCCCTGTTTTCTCACTAAAACGCCTCAAGAGCAAGGTGGGCCTTGTCAAGGTCAAGCTTCATTGACATAAGAGGACTTCTTCTAGCTCTCATCCCAAATCTCCTAGAAGTTATATACCTATCCTGACTGTAGCTCACGTCAATTCAGATTAATATTCTGGTATAGATTCCGCTTTTTTTTTTTTTTCCTCCTTATATTGACCCTTATCCAAATACTTAAAGTCCAAAAGACACTTTGAATTAACTCTTCACCCTATGGACTAATACTCTTAGGATCCAATCACCTACCTCAATAAATATAGGACCTCAATTCGTTATTCAAGTACGTTTTTATATAATTTTCAGTTATATAACCTTATGCATAAATTTTCTCTCTAATTTAAGCATTGGAGAAGAGACGGAAAACACACCTTGAAGTTTTTGTTTCAGGTACTGGAAGATTTCGTTCGTGCTCATTCGCAATTATCAAGGTTGAAAATCAACATGTATGATTTTTGATGGTATCAAAATAATTTCATGATTTCGAAACTATCTTACCTTTTAAATAGAGTTTTCAAAATGTTGGATAATCATTATTAAAATGGTAGAAAACATATATATACATATATGTATATATATATATGTATGTATATACATACATACATGTAAATACATATATATGTATATATATATACATATATACATATATATATATATATATATATATAACCGAGTATATAATAGCATAGAAAATATATGATGACAATTAGTCGAACTTTTTCTTTGTTGTTACTTGATGAATTTTAGAGTTGGGGCTATCAATATTTTTTTTATCGGTAAATGTAAACTTTTATAGATAATAACTTCAGTAGAAGTACAGCAAACATGGTAAATAGAGGTTCATATAGGCATTGATGAAACTTGAACTAAAAAAGAATTATTTATATCATAAAGAATTAAAAAGAATTTTAAATCGAGCAAAAAAATTATTTATAATAAGAAGGAAAAAAAATTTTAAACAATTTTCAAAAAAAATAAATTAAATAAAAGAATGTTACAAAAATTAAATAAAGAATATATAAATAATATTTAATTAAAATTGAAAAATGTAAGTTTTATCATAAAGAGAAAAGAATTAAAAAAATTTAAATCGAAAAAAATTTATCTATAGGCCCCGTTTGATCCACATTATTTGAAAAAAAAAGACATTTTTAAACAGTAATTTGACATCATATCAACCATACATTTTTCGATAAAATAATATTAGACGCAAATTCAATTTTTTATTTTATTTTTTAAACACACATTTTTCATCAATGCACTATTCAAACATGCATTTTTTTTTTCAAAATAATGTGGTTCAAATAAAGGCATAATATGAACAAAACAATAAATTCTTTTTGTGTTATGGAGAGTTTCTCTTCGTGTACTCTATTTGTTTTTTAATTTCTTTTGTTCATATTAAAAAAATTGATTTAAAATTTTTTTTAATAATTTTCTCTTTATGATAAAACTTAATTTTTTTCCATTTTAATTAAATAATAAAAATTCAAATGTTAAAGCATTGAACAAAAGATAATGGAATAATGCATAATCCCAAAAAATTAAGCAAATCGAATTGCAACTACCATTTTATACCAATATACTAATAAAAAAAAACTAAATAATTTAATAGATTAAAGAACAAAAAATAAAGAATTGCATGCAAAAATAAAAAATTTAGTATAAAGTTTTTTTTAATTAAATTGAAATAATTAAAATTTAAAATAAATATTATTTAATTAAAATTGAAAAATTACATTTTGTCATAAAACAAAAAGAACTAAAAATATTTAAATCGAACAAAAAATTATTTATAATACGAAGAAAAAGAATTTCTAAAACAATTTAAAATAAAATAAAATAAACAAATTAAACAAAAGAAAGTTACAGAAATTAAATAAAGAATATATAAATATTATTTAATTAAAATTGAAAATTAAGTTTTATTATAAAGAGAAAAGAATTAAAAAGAATTTTAAATCAAAATAAAATTATATGATGAGCAAAACAAATTATTAAAAAAAAAAAAACAAATGGAGAGTTTCTCTCTGTCTCTCCATCACACTCCATTACACGAAGAGAATTTTATGAAAAGAATTCTCTCCACGTTATGTTATGGGGAAGAGAATCTCTCCGTTTTGTGTTGTGCTATTCGTACATACCCATTTGCATAGGGTTTGTACAGATGCTCTCACATGGGGGTGGACCTCATACATGAGGTCCACGTGTGGGATCCACTCCCATATGAGAGCTCCTATACAGACTCTGTGCAAATGAGTCTGTACAGAAGGTTTATTCCCTCCGTTTTATGGAGAGGTTTCCCTTCATTACATTATTATTATTATTATTTTTAGTTTATTTTGTTATTATAAATATATTTTTTCGATTTAAATTTTCTTTTAATTATTTCTCTTTATAATAAAACTTACTTTTATTTATATGTTCTTAATAAAATTTTCGTAACTTTCATTTGTTTAATTTATTATATATATATTTTAAAATTTATTTTAAAATTTCATTTTTCTTCATATTATAAATATTTTTTTCGATTTAAATTTTTTTATTTCTTTTCATTTTATTATAAACGTAATTTTTTCAATTTTAATTAAATGAATTTTTTTAATTTTAATTATTTCAATTTAATTAAAAAATTATTATAATTTTTTTTTATTTTTTGCCTGCAATTCTTTTATTTTCATTTTTAATTTGTTAACTCATTTAATTTTTTTATTAATATATTGATGTAAAATGATAGTTACAATTCGGTTCGCCTAATTTTTTATAGTATTCTTTATTCCATTATCTCTTGTTCAATGTTCTAATATTTGAATTTTTGTAAGATGTAATACTATCTAGATGCAGTTGAGAAGGACAATCCTTAAGTTAGGATTCTCGATTTTAGTCATTATCTTGATTTTTCCATTTTTGAAAGAAAAATTTCATATCAAACATTCAGGTAATGAGTGAATATAACATACAGTGATCAAGATTTAATTATTATTAATTAAATTATTAATACTTTTCTATAATTATATAGAAGATATAGTCAATCATTTTATCATATTAATGGAATAAAAAGACGTCGTTTTTCCATTCAACGTAGGGGAACAATGTTGTTTTGTACTGTAAATTCATTGAAAAAAGGACAAATAAATTTTTGATTAGAAAATCCTTAAAATAAAGAATAGAGAAGAAAAAAGAAGTCTTGGTTATATGGAGAAGTGGAGTAAATGGATAATTGTGTTTTAAAATAGAAAAGATAGAAAGAAGAAAAAGAAATGAAAATGATGGTTGCGTGTGAAAGTCAATAAAGTAGTATAACGTTTAAAAAAAAAAAAGGAATTAAATTGGCAAACAATAATTGGGCACGACTCCATAGAAAAAGTGCCACAACAAGTGCCTCTTTTATTTTAGTTAGAAAACAAATTTGTATTTTTAAGTGCAATTAATAATATAAAATAAGAAAATAAAAGTAAAACTAACAAGTAATATAATGTACTTTACCCCTCAATGGGCTGTTGTCGAAATTGCTTTATATTGCAAAACATAATTAATATGTGATTTGGACTCATGTCCTTTCGTTCTCTCTTAACTATGATATACAAAAATGGAGGTTCGTCTAATAATTTTTATATGAGATGAAAATATTAAGGTGACCTAATACATATGCGAGTTTCTTAAATATCCTCAAACCGCGACTTAGTGAAAAGTATACAGTATAATAGATTTCACACATGCAACACACTTAGTATGTCCAAATGTTGTTCTCAAAACAAAGTGATTATTCATCCATTAGAGCTATAAATTTCAAATTAGCAAATGCACAATATTCCCCTATCTGAGCCCCATTTTCTAAAAAATTATTTTTTTCTCAAATTCATTTTCAACTATACATTCTTTCAATAAAATAATTTTATACATAAACCCAAAAAAATTTCATAATTTTTCATCGTACATTTTTCAAAAAATCAGTATCACAAAATTCATTTTTCATCAAAATAAAACTCAAACAGGAGCTACATGTAGAGATCGTGCAGTGTTTGTGCAAATTTTTTCAACACTTCATACTGTCATGACTCTGTCTTCATTAGCAGTACAAGGAGGTGTCATTCTATCACCTAGTTACTTGCAAAAGGTTGTGGCTAGCTCCCCATTTGACCTATGGAATAAAAGTATGTAGATGAAGCAAAATGATAATGGTGACGAGAAAAGAAAGATTAAAGAAGAAATTTATTTTTATTTTTTTTAATTTTTTTTTTAAGGCATTAACCATACTAGACACCGTTGCTGAATATTTGTAGACGGTCAATTTTCATCTTTGTGCTTGACGGTTTTTGGCCACATGCATGGCAATTTACTCCAACTGCTAAGCGTAGTGAAGAGTATAACCGATGTTCAATTGTTGAATGGTGTAGATCATGTCATTAACTGGTCATCTCCTAACATGTTGTGGTTAACCAACCTTTGGAATATGATTGAGGTAGCTCGGTCAACAGCGTCTGCGCTCTATTCTGTTGGTTCATGCGGTTTAGCTCAAATTTGTTAATATAAACCGGAATCACAAAAAAAAAAAAAATTAAAAAAAATAAAAAGGAAGAAAGAAAGAAACCCTTTTTCAAGTAATAAAAGCATAATAAAATATTATTTATAAGAAAAAAAAATGCATACTAAATGTGTGGCCACTAAGGGAACGTGTAGGGGCACAACATTACCTAGGTGTCTGACCATGAGGGAATGCCCAAAAGAACTGGTTCTCATAGAGCATTCAAACTTGCTCAGAGCTTTTCTAGAAACTTTCTCAAGACATTCAGGATTCGTGAAGTGTTTGTGCAAAATGAGATCCGGTTTGGGGTGTGTGCACAAGATTTTTCCTTCACAAAATGCGCACACCTTTGTGTCCAAATACTACATAGTTCAGTGCATATTAGCGAATTAGCTATTCTTATAACTTTAGGAGTTTGTAATTACTTTCTAAGAGTTAAAACTTCTGCCTTGTGTTCTTTGTTCCCAGAGTCTCTGCTAGGTTGTTGGCAACTGATGCCACTGAAGTAGGAAAGCTCGTATTTCCCATGGTCAGGAATGGTGGATTTACAGGACACTGTTTGACTGGTACATGTTGCTTAGATGGTTCGGAATTGCTCGGTGCATCAACTGCTGGTGAATAACCCTGAAATGCCAAAGCATCCTCAACTGGTATTGCCCCTGTAAGAGTCTTGACTGCAAATTCGAGGCATGGATCTAACCAAAAATCTCCAAATGGAAAGTCAACTTGTGAATCTTGTGATTTTGTATTATGCTCTACTTTTTGCAAAGTTGCTTCCCGACTCGTTTGCACAGCCGGAATAGTCCGGATCTCTGCAAGCGGTTTTCATCATTACAAATGCCCAAAATAATATCATATTCGTCAAACAAAAACGTAAGAAGGAACTTCTATGAACAAGGAAATAAACCTGATGGATCTATTTGAACTGTGTTTGAAGGCTCGCTCTCTAGAACTGGTTCCTTGCCTGTAGAGAGGTGATTCGCAACCTCTTGTGCTGGTTCAGCATCAGGTTCCTGAGGAAATTCAGTTGCTCCATCTACTTTTCGTGCACTTGCCTCCCGACTCTTTTGCATGTTTCGAATAGCCAAGTTCTGTGCAAGCAGCTTTTCGTCATTGTTCAAAGGGTCAATCTTCGGAACAAGTTCCTTGCCTATAGATGCATTATATGTTACCTCTCCTGCCAGCTCAGTTTCTGGGTGCCAAGGAAATTCATTTGCTCCAGCATTTTCATGTGCGGACTTCTTAGTAGTAGCCTGAAGAGCTTGTGTGCTTAAACCCAAATAGGGCAGAGACTCGGGTTCACAACCCGCAAGTCTTTTTGAAGTACGACGAGGCAAACTTGTAGTTCCTCTTTTATTGGACTTTCTCAAGTCCATCAGAGCTTCGGGAATTTGTTTTTCTGTCGCACATCCAGGAAACTTCTGCTCATTCAGGCTATCGCTCCCAAGAAAGGAAACAGCTATTTTATCATCTCTAACTTGAATTTCAGGATCGATATCTTCAAATGTCTTCTCAATGTCAGCTTTCCTTTCCACCAAGTTATCTGCAATTTCATAAATATTTTTACACAATGCCCGCTTCAAGAGAATCAAGAATGGCCTAATTTGACACAGGTCAAAAACACTAGTTGACGCTGAACTCTAGGCAAAATTTCATGTTGTTCACTGACATTCATTTACTTTCATGTTGGTCGATAAACTTAAATCTTTTTATTTCAAGTTGGTCACTGAACTTAAATGTTTAAAATAAAATAAGTTTTAGCATTCAATATGACATTTCACTAAAGGATTTAGCTATCACCCGTCTAACCATTCGAAACAACTATTACCTTGGTTTAAGCTCTCAGGCTCAGGTGTCGCTGAGCTGTTTCTATCACAGCTTTCTTTACCTACAAAATACAGGTAATATTTTAGAAAGAAGAAAAATAGTATGCGTATATAATAGACAATTCAACAAAATAATATATAGCTTCTCCAACCAAGTATAAGCCGTCTACTGGTTTCAGGCTGCTCTGATAGAGTCTCATCAACTTGAGATAAAGACTATAGACAAAAAAGATGCACCATTAGAGAGCTTGAATATGCAAATATAAAAATGGGCATCACATAACCATGATTTAAGATTTAACATGGACACGAGCAAATATATATTGTTTTTCGTGCAAAGATAAAAATAACGCTTTAGTAAGGTTTTGTTGGAAACATTATTAAGAACAATTGTGAAATATTTAAAGTATAATGTAAGGATTCAGCAAGGCATGATAAATTTTGCCAATATGATAGCCATCTACTTCATGAATGATATAAAATAAAATTTACAAAATGCAGCAGAATATCAAGAATATCCATTCATTGTATCGAAACATCCTAGAATACTTTATCAAAACCTAAGAGCTACGCTCTAAAAAAGCAAAAACCTTGAAATTAATTTTCTCTATATCATCTATTTTTCTAAACTGTCCCAACAATAACTTCCATTCAACATATTAACTGCATCTTCTATCATCAAATACCAATCTCTCAACCCATCAAATGTTATATGGTTTCTTTAGTACAGTTTTTGTCAGGCATGTTGTTTTTGGTGCAATATCACAATGTGGTAACATCTGTAAAAAGTAATCCCCAGAATTTTAGAAAATGACCTTACATCCAAATTTCCATATTTAGTACAGTTTTTGTCAGGCACGCTGTTTAGAGAATGACCGTACATCCAAATATCCTTCGGACTGTTCTGTAGGTGTCTTCTAGCAAGTATACAGTCACGTGCCCTATGTGCATTCTGTGCTTCATGACCTAAGTGCATTTTAAGTGCTTGTACACAATCAAGATACAGGTATGGTGTCACTGGCGCTCAATCCCAAAAAGATGTAATTAAGTATTGAGCTATATCAATGATGTAACAAGTATGCATGAAATATAATGTTTTCTGCTAAGTACCCACGATTACATATTTATTTTAATAATTTTAGAGGATTATTCAGTGAAATATTTTTAACACTACTCTCATTAAATCCAAACTTATTTTAAGTAGAAACTGAATCCATCAATTTAACACTCCCAGTCTAACATGTCTTGTATTCAAACATAAACATTGACCTTGCATAAAGTTCCATAATTCAGCTAATAGAAATACATCATCAATCCTTAGGATAAAGATTAGGCCTTGTATAAATCATAAGACGCATTCAAATCCAAAAAAACTCGCTGAAGAGTAAATGATCAAATTTAACGCGAAACAACTCGAGTTTAATTCAGCAAGGAAAATACGGATAAAAAGCATTGCAAAAAAGGAAAATGCTTACTTTTATTTGTTTGGATGTGTTTCCAGAGTGATTGACAGTTTCAAGATATCTAGTCACTGTCGGCCTCGTATAGAACTTCCTTCCTGTTGATGGCTCAGTATATACCTGCAATTGTGAGGAAGTACAATATCATTAGAACTTGGTCAGTCGTGTAAATCTAACTAAAAATTGACAAAAAATTCCATTTATTGGCGAAAGATTTAGAGATACAGGAGATCCTAGTCAGAAAAAAGAAACTTCATTTATGAAGTACTGTAGAAACTACTTCATCTGTTTTCAATGTCTTAGTCTGATTGGCACAATATCTTATCTTAACACTCAACACTAACAAATTTCTAACTTAAGCGTTGACCACCTCTTTCACTCACCCCAATTTACTACTACTTAGTACCTACTATGTAAACACCTTCATGGACCACAATCATTACCCAATCCCCACATTGGAGACACAATTTGTATAAATAAATTTGTCCTATTTTTAAGAGCTTATTCTTTTAGATGTGTCAAATATATTCAATAAGACTTGATGCCCCTCGATGTGAGAGGTTCTCTCATTATACAGAACCAAATTCAAACTAAACATGATCACATCAATTTATTTATATTTGGTACAATTATAATATAACCGTAATCTTCAACGATCTCCATAATCTTATTCAATCTCATTGATGTCCCCCTTAAATTGATGCTTACAAGCATCAATTTGTAATCACGAACTGATGACGGGGACAATACTCGTGTCTAAGGGTGGACATGGTCTCATATGGTTCTAGTTCCAAGAGAAACGAACCAAACCATGAACCAATGATTTTTTTTATAATGGAACCAAATGGTTTTTTTAAAGATATGAAACCAAACTGAACCGAACCGTTCGGTTCTAGTTTGATTCTAATTTCATTTCTTAAATTTTTAGATTTGCATCATATAAATTAGTAATATATACCTAAATAAGAAAATAAACATCAAAAATTTAGGAAGTTCAAATTTCAATTATCGAGATAAAAAAAAAAAAAAAATCATAACTAACAAACAAAAATATATTCATAATTTGAATACACAAATCAGTTTTCGTTTTCATACAAAAAATTGTTTAATAAGTAATAACAATGATTCACTAAATTAATTGTATTAGTTTTGGGGGCATACCCCTACAATAAAGAATGAATTATCAAAATTTTTACAATCCACTTCTACAGGCAACATTAACTGTTTAATATCTCATGAATGTTTATTGGGTATTCCTCTATTTGTGAAGAACACAAATAACTTATCAAACAATCAAGGTAAAAAAAGAGTTTAGAGACTTTTTAAATAACTGATCAATTTCATTTTTCGATCTTAAATGACACCCCCATTGACTTCATGAAATGCAGTACCAGTATGCTATTATGTTGTGTAAATTGAAAATGAGTGAAAGAGAAATAATTCAACTGAATACAAAATTAGGGTATAGACAACTAATTAGTTGTTTATCTCTAATGACCCAAAATTGATTAATAAACTGTGTTCAATTAATGGACTATCTCCAATAAATATAAAGTTAGGGTATCCACTAATTATTATATATAAAATTAAATATTAAGTTTGGTTCTAGTTATGGTTCTGGTTTTTGAAATAGAACTGAACCAGAACCTGAACCAAATGGTTCTCGATTCAAAGAACCAAAACCATTAATTTTTTTTTATAGAACCGAACCGAACCACTTGGTTTGGTTTGGTTTTGGGTTAGTTTGGTTTGGTTTGGTATGGACATTTTGTCCACCCCTACTCGGTAGGGGTGCCCATGAAGAAGAAATCCAAATTAGAGCAACCATCTATGAAAACTAGTAACGACAAGAGACCAAGAACAACAAATAGTGCAAAAATAACTAAGAACTATTCCAAAGCTACTCCAAGAACACTCCAAAGACATTCCAAAGAGTTCACACCCTAAGAAGAATTTCTAAAAGAAATTCAAGAAGTGTGTCAACACACACGTTAAGCTCTATCTCTTGGGAGAACTCGGTCGAACACATAATTCATGGTCCAACAAAAGTTCTAACGCCAATGTACCAACCAAAATTTTAGCAATACATCGCTGGCCAAGATACTATAGTTGAAAGAAATTCCACAAAACAGTCTACACTAAAAACCCAAAAATGATCCTCCTCTGTGAATCCAAAAATCACCCAAGGATGATCCTCCTTCGAGAATCCAAAACTCTTGCTCATCACTCGAGCAGCCAAAATCAACGACCTGCACTCCCATGTCTTCACTCACGTTCACGTTTTAGTCATTCCGCGTGTCATCTTCTTCGAAGTTTGTTGATGAAGAAGTTGAGTAGAATGAATATTTCTCTCAACCTTTAGAGTAATGTCGAGAAGAAATTTCAGCCCACAATAAAATTAATCAACCAATTAACCAAGATCATCCGAATTATATTAATAAATCAATCCAAGAGCTGGAAAAATAATGTAGCCCAAAGTGGCCCAACTATGATAAAACCTAAATAACGCAACCAAAACAAACAGCCAAACTTAAGAAATTAAGAGCCCAAACTCAAACTTTCTTTGACCCAATCAAAAAATTTCATCCCAAGAAAAATTGTAGCTCGATAATCTGTCCAATACACTAAAAAACAGCCCAACCCAATCACCCCACAAAAGAAACCAAATTGCTGTCCAACAAATTTAACCCAAAATCAGCCCACACACAAAATTAGGCCCACGCCAAACAAAATCAGCCCACCCAAAATAAACAGTTAACAAATTTTACAGAGCCCAATTCATGGTACCGTCAGTGAATCTCACAGCTCTTACCACCGAACTCCAAACCTGCCGGTGAAACTTTACTGATACAGCCCAAGAATTAAGGAATATGTTACTTGTACATGTGACATCATCCAAGAATTAAACATGTCCAGTGGAGGAAAGCCCCAAGATTTCCACCATAACACTTCAAACTATCTATACCAGAATGTTCATCCACGCTTACCGCACCAAGTCGATGTTGAAAACTGCCATCAAAAGCTACCTCTCTATTATCCCAAGGGGCCCACCTCACTTCCTCGGAGGAGGAGCTCGCCGCCCTTAGCGACGTCGTTTCACCATGGTCAGCCATCCTTCCGACATTCAAACATGTCGTTTTGGATATCTTTTTTCCTTCCGTCAACCCTAACACTATCATCATTGACCGCACTAGCAACCATCCCGCACTAGCAAGTAGCTTTTGATTTGTTGAGAGGACAGATCACTGATGGCTCCAATGGTAACTCTAGAACCAAGAGAAGAAATATCCATTGGATTCTGAATGTTGTTTAGCTGAGGTCTTTTGTTTCCAATCTGGATCATCATCGCAGAGTATGTAAAGGAGTTTCCATCAGCTGATCCACTATGGTTTTATCTCCACATTTCTTGCCAAATCTCAGCCTATGATATCGGGGTTGCAGGCTAGGGAACCGGTCTTAAACACGGAAGTCAGTCGAAGGGTGTTGAGTACTCTGTTCATCGCAATATTGGGATTGCACTCTTCTCTCTTGTAACCGTGCATATATTTGCATTACTCTATAGACTGAAAAAGGAACATGAACAGGAAAAGAAAACGATTAACATAATTTGATGAAGAATGGACGGGAACAAGAAAATTCGACTGGACGAACAGCACTAAACTACTTGCCGGAGAACAAAAAGCTTACAAGTTTAACCAATGAAGTTAAATCAGCTCTGATACCATGTCAAATATACTCAATAAGACTTGATATCCCTCGATGTGAGAGGTTCTTTGAGAACCAAATTCAAACTAAATATGGTAACAGCAATTTATCTATATTTGGTACAATTATAAGATAGCCGTAATCTTCAACGATCTACATAATCTTATTCAATCTCATTGACAAGATGATTTAAAACTACATTTTTTTGTTTCAAATATTTTTGAATATGTTAATTTTCTTATAAATAAAGAAAGTTACTTATATTGATAGTAAGATATAGGTTACTTCGAAAATAAGTAACTCACTTTTTCAACTTTCACCAACCAAACTTGTTTCAAAACTTCAGCCACTAATTCTAGGTTTAAGTTCCTGATAGAGAACACCACCACCGTCACCCTCCTTAGTCCCAAAACACCAAAAAATACATCAATCATCAATCAATTCCTGGACAACCACCTCCAGTATCACTTGAGCACCACTTACACCTAAATAACCTCCAAAAATTCCATAAGAGAAAAGAAAAGAAAATTACAGCATCAACCCCTTCTAGACCTGGATTTTAGTTCCACTAGAGCTTCCAGGTTAAAACAATTAAATCCAGTGAAATATAAGATCCTTGGCAAAAGAATTCACTTAACAAAATAAACTGACAAATATGATGATCCAGCAGCTTAACAACCTAAATGGAAAAAAAATAATAATAATTAATAAATAAATAAATATAATGAATGAATGAATGAATAGCCACCAATCATAGAGATGGAGGATGAAAACGGGTTGTGAAGCTGTTGACAATGCTCATCCATAGTAGCACGAATCCAATGTGGTTCCAAGGAGAGGAACTAATGAATTTAGATGATGGAACTCTGTTGTTGAGGTCCGAGAACGACTGTGTATATTTATAAGTGAACATTGTTTTGGGACATTCCAAAAGGAGATAAGGATATTCATTCCAAATGAAGAAAGAATTTGTTCGGCCACTCTTTCACCAGATATCAACTTTAAATCAATGACTTCCAACAAAGTACCAAAAAGGGTGGGTATGTAGAAGGAAAATAGTTGACTTCGAAAGAATTCATCAACATTATTGGCCAACTGCCAGAAATAGAATCAAGTTTTCAATCCAACAAATAATCCATAGAACTTTCATGATTGAGCCGGCAGTATTTATCAGACAAAAATTATAGTATTTTCCCCCGTGTTTTTGTACATGGCACACTAGCAAGCATTCCTGTATTAAAATTTAATATAATCTTCACAATTAGCACTGAAGCTTTGGAAAGTCATCCTAATTTAAAAAAAGAAAAAAAGAAAAAGGAAGGAAAGTTAGAAAAAAACAAAATAAAATAAAATAAGATAATCTCTCGATCTTCTAGATTGATTTTCTATTCTGCCCTTCTAGAAACAGTAATCAGTCAGCACACAGCTATTGTAATATCTTATAAAGTACAAATCTAGCTTGCAAGCAAAGATGCAACTTGCAAGAAATGACTACAGGTAGATTAAGGAAAATGACTACTTTTATGCATTACATACCAAGTAAGTCTTCCCCATTAACGAACCACTCTTTCGAGTTCTTTCCTCCGTTATCCACCCATGGGGTAACCATTCAGGAGAATCGGTTGTTTTAGGTTCAATCTGTGGACCATCAGTCTAATCATGAAGGACAAAATGAGGATATAGTAGAGCACAATTATAAGATTGTTTAGCATTCAGACTCACAGAACCAGTTTTGTCATCAGAGAGCTTATTGTCTTCGATACTTGTTGCTTGTGGTGTATCATGGCAGACATTTTCCCTTTCAGCACAACGAAGGACATCCTTCTTGGAGTAATACTTCGTGCCTGTTGCCGAGTTGCAGTAATACTGCAGAATTAGACACAATATAACCAATGTCACTTTCCCTTGAGCAAATATATTACATGTAAGACAAAAAGGGAAAAAAGTAAAAACCAGTAATGTCTACACGCTTGTGTTCCAATAAGTTCTGTAATATACTGATACAAATATATTGTGTGAAATTTCATACAATGTGCAAAAGTTGCATAAAATGCACCTTCTAGTAACATATTTGTCCTCCACTGTTCATAAAATTTCAAGAGGATACAGAAGTCTGAATCTAAAACGTGTTGTGTCTAATGTTGTGGAATCAAGCTGAAGAAGAAAAGAAAATTTTTTGTTTTTGAAGATTCGTCTATGCATACGACAAAACATTTGGGCGCTGCTCGTCTCCCACAACAATTGCAAGGCCAAGAACCCTTGCCATATTTATAAGGGCCCACAGGTGTCCAGATTGTTTATTCTTACATGAACGGGACATCGGGATGTGGTGCACTACTATTCGGCGGTACTCCAATAAATCAAATCATTTCAAAACTTTGAATGGACTATAAGCTTTAAAATCAGGATCCTACGCGTAGTACCAGGCAACAAACAAAAAAAACTGCAAGATTATCTTTATTTCCGTATCCGACACTAGAATAAATAGTAGCTTTTTATATCGACACAATATTCCCGGCCTCCAGCCCCTGACCCAAAAAAAACAAAAAAACAAAAAAACAAAAACACATACATATGAGACACATACTTTTTGTCCATTCAATCACAAGCATATATATATAACAAGAAATTTTTATGCATTTAATAACAAGCATACAGAATACAACACATTCTAACACAAAATTTCTCAAAATCAAATCATCTAAATAATTTTCACATTTCATATAACGATTCTGAAACCCATATCCATGTGATTTATTTTCCATTTCTTTAAGTAACTACATATGCGGATGTCGAAATCAAGACCAAGATTCTGTTTTTCACTCATTTCCTTCAAATGTAGCCATTATGCCTGAGTCAATTAAACCCTCACCCACAAAACGATTAAAAGATTTAATTCCAAAGTATGCATAAAAACAAGTCCTTTTTTGCGTCTAAAAATTAACCATTCGGCCAAAACAAAACATTAATCAATTATTACAATTAATGACTAAACAAGTTCAAGAATTTTGATTACCTTGATTTTTCTTCCAAAGCTGTGTTTTATCTTCTCGACAAAGCCCGGAGGAAGCCATTCCGGCGAATTCTTGTCCACCATTTGGCCGTAATCTAAATTCTTCCTATTATAATCTTGAAGTTTTCCCCCTTTTTGAGTCAGTCTGTTTTTCGAGAGCTGGCTCCACATTTTCTCTGTAGAGTGAGGACTGAGGTGTTAAATAGAACATTGGGACAAAAGGCTGCTTCATGGAACACGTGTCTTTATATATACACTACATTAACACGTATGGGTTGCCGAGTGGTGGGGTTGGGGGTAATACAAAGGCACCACCTTTCTTCCCCCACGCCCTTCTTAAGAATAAAAGCTGCATGAGGTTTTAAAGCTTTCTTAAGATAAAGCTGACTTTCAATTGTTACAGAAATTGTTTGATTAAAAAAAAAGTAAAAAAATATGAAAAGTAGGTTTTTATTTTTGACAATCTTGCTAGACAAACTCAATAAGATGAGAGACTCGCGAGAATGCGTAATTTGACAGTTTGGAAGAAGAAGAAAAAACATAATGCTTAATCGATGTCTACCACGCCACCTTGTCAACTCTATCCCTGCCATTGACCCTATTCGACGAACATTTTATAAAATAATATAAGAGATGCGTGTCAATACATGATTGAATAGTTTAAAAACAAAAACTATTTTTTTCTCAAATTCATTTTCAACTATACATTCTTTCAATAAAATAATTTTATACATAAACCCAAAAAAATTTCATAATTTTTCATCGTACATTTTTCAAAAAATCAGTATCACAAAATTCATTTTTCATCAAAATAAAACTCAAACAGGAGCTACATGTAGAGATCGTGCAGTGTTTGTGCAAAATTTTTCAACACTTCATACTGTCATGACTCTGTCTTCATTAGCAGTACAAGGTGGTGTCATTCTATCATCTAGTTACTTGCAAAAGGTTGTGGCTAGCTCCCCATTGACCTATGGAATAAAAGTATGTAGATGAAGCAAAATGATAATGGTGACGAGAAAAGAAAGATTAAAGAAGAAATTTATTTTTATTTTTTTTAATTTTTTTTTTAAGGCATTAACCATACTAGACACCGTTGCTGAATATTTGTAGACGGTCAATTTTCATCTTTGTGCTTGACGGTTTTTGGCCACATGCATGGCAATTTACTCCAACTGCTAAGCGTAGTGAAGAGTATAACCGATGTTCAATTGTTGAATGGTGTAGATCATGTCATTAACTGGTCATCTCCTAACATGTTGTGGTTAACCAACCTTTGGAATATGATTGAGGTAGCTCGGTCAACAGCGTCTGCGCTCTATTCTGTTGGTTCATGCGGTTTAGCTCAAATTTGTTAATATAAAC